CGTCGATTTTTTTCTCTCTTTCTCCCTCTCTCCCTCTCACGATAATTACGTTATTCGATATTATTACACGCGTTAAATTTTCTATTCCACGATAATTAACAGAAGTAATAAAATTACATAATAGAAGTAGTAGTAGTAATAATAATAATAATAATAATATTAACTCTCTCTTTCTCTCTCTCTTTCTCTCTGACGATGTTGATCTTTAATAAATCCTTTGTATAAATACACTAAGGTAATCTCTTTGCCACATTCAAATGCGGTGCATGTAAATAATCACCAACGTTTTAAATTTTCCGAAAATGGGGAAGGAGGGAGGTAAGGGGTAGGAGATAGGGAGGAGAGAGAAAAGGGTTAAATAAAATATGGCCGACTGTTAAATGACCAAAAATTACGTATATTTAAATAATAATTTAATGAAAACGTTGATAATAATAATAATAAACTCGTGGTAATTAAAAAATGACTGGAATTTTTGCAATCGTCGCATATATATATATGTTTTTTCCGTTTGATTTTAGTATTCGTGTGCGCGTGCGCATAAAAAAAGTATTCTTTATCGTAGGAAAAATTTAAAGGGAGGGGGGGAAATTTATCGTGGGAAATAATAATCGAATGAGAGACAGAGAGACAGAGACTGAGAGAAATTATAGCTCACGGTCATCGCATGTATTTAAAAAAAAAAAAAAAAAAAACTATAAAAGTCTAAAGCCACGTTAAACTATAAAACGTATTACGTATATATATTTATTACTTAAAAAAAAAAAATTAATATTAATAAATTTAAGACAAAAATTCGATTTAAATCTGGATGATTCCATTTTATTTATTTCTTATATCAAATTTTTTTTTTTTTTGATTTTTTACCGTCGTAAAAAAAATTATTATTATTATTATTTTCTTTTTCTTCTTCGTTTTTTACTATCCCCTTTCTATTCTTTTGTCCCGTTCGATCCCTTCGTGATGGGGGAAAGAAAGAAGAATAAGGGAAAAAAAAGAATGGAGAAGTTAACAAAAGATTTTCCAATTTCCATAAAAACGTCCACTTTCAACAGGTAATAGATTTTATTTTTTTATTACTTATATACTTTTTTCGAGTTCATCAGTAACAAAATGAAAATGAAAAAAAAATATATATGTGTAGTTTTTTTTCTTTTTTTCTTTCTTTCTTCTCTGCTTCTTTCCTAAATAAAAATTATTTTTATAAATATTGTGGAAAAAAGTTGAAGAGTAAGAGAGAGAGGGAGAGGGAAATAAAGAAAAACTGGAGAAAAAAATGAAGAAAAGAGTGAAAGAGAGAATTGAAGGAAAATTAGAGAAAAAAGTAAAAGAAAGAGAAACAAAAGTACAAAAAGAGACTTAGAAAAACATATCATCATTATTTTTTTAATAGAAAGAATAAGGGGAAAACAGAGAGAAAGAGAGAGAAGGAGATTGAAAGAGACTTAAAGACTTTGGAAATAAAATGTTAAATCAAAGGAATAAAGGCAATAAGTGAGGCAAAGAGAGAAAGAAAGACAGAGTGCGTATGTGTGAAAAAGAAAGAAAAAGAAACTTAAAAAAAGAAAATATAAAGACGGAGAGAAAAGAAAAGAAAGAGTGTAAAAAAGAATGACAAAAAAAAGAAACGTAGAAAAAGAGAGAAATAAAAGAGAGACAGAGAGAATGTGTGTTTATGTATGCGTACAAAAGAGAGAGGAAAAGAGATTGAAAAAGACTTAGAAAATGAAATACAGAAACAGAAAGAAAGAAAAAAAATAGTAAAGAAATAAAAAAAAAGAATGAATAAAAGAAAAACAAAAAAAAAAAGAGAGAAAAAGAGAAAGAAAGAAGTAGGAAGATGAAAAACTTTACCGACAAGTTTTTTTTTTTTTTTGTTAAATTTATTTCGCCAATAAAAATAATAGAAAATAAAAAATGAGAAAGCATTTAATATATAAATATCGCATGGCAACAGCAAAAAGGAAAACAAAAAAATAGTAAAACTTTTATTTTATTTTTTGTCAAAAAAAAAAAATTTTTCTATGGAGCATAAAAAAAAAAAAAAAAAAAAAACTAAAACTAAATTTAAAAACTAATAAAACACAACAACAACAAAAAAATATGAAACATATTAAAACTATTGTTTTACAATATCAAATATTTACCTTACCTCAGTAAAAAAAAACATGTATATATCGAACTAACTTTGTCGATATATCGTACGCATCAATTTATTCTAATTCCACTACCATCACCACCACCACCACCATCACCACCACCACCACCGCCATCACCACTCACACATACAATCTCTCTTTTATTTTCCTGGGGAAAAAAAGGTCCCTCCCCTTCTCCCCACACAAGAAAAGGACCGTCTTCTCTCCTACGATTTTACATTGTTGACTTGAAAACTTTTGGCATAACTCGCGTTTAAATTTCACTATAATTAATATTCAGAATGAATTCTTCTTAGAGAGAGAGAGAGAGAGACACGACAAAAACTCTCTGAATTACAAAACTTTTATACAAACTAAACCATCCATATTTAAATTTCAAACGGGAAGGGGGGGAGGAAAAAAAAGAGGGAAAAAAAGGAAAAGGAAGGAAAAAAGGAAGGAAGGAAACATAAAAACGTTTAATTTTAATTATCATTATTTTTTTATCAAAAAAAAAAAAAAAACAACAAAATTTTACATGTTTTTACCTGAATTGTAAAATTAACTGCCTTGCCTTGACTCTAATAAAAAAAAAATTTATTTTATCATTATTATTATTATTATTATTATTATTATTGTGTTTTTTAGCATTCATCGAAACCGGAAATGAAATTAATTAAAAAATAATTTTTTTTTTTATCTGTAAATGTTATTAATGATGACGTAAACAGTTAACAAAAAAATTTCAAATTTTTTTTTTAAATTTCCCGCCATTTTGTTTTTTTTTCGATATTTAAATTTATTTAAATTTCAAAAAAAAAAAAAAAAAACGATGAAACGAGAAAGGCGTTTAATTTAAAATTTTGATTGATGCATTTTTAAATTTTACCTTTTTTTTTTTTATTATTATTTTTTAATACTTAATCGCATTTTAAAAACGCCATTTTTATTTTTAAGGTGGAAGGGAGGGGGGCGAGGCGAGGAGCGGGGGACGGGGGAGTTAATGTAAAATTTGGTAGAAGTTGAAGGGGGAATGTTAAAGACGAATGATTTTAAAATTTTTAACGGTTTTTTTTTCTCTTCCTTTACGGTTAGTTAAACTCGTTGCATTAAATAATTAAATTTTTTTCCCCTTTTTTTTTTTTTTATTGATTTATCGATTATTATTATTATTATTATTATTATTATTATTATTATTATTATTATTATTATTATTATTATTATTATTATTATTATTATTATTATTATTATTATTATTATTATTATTATTATTATTTTAAATTCGATGTTTTCTCGAGTTTAACAAAAAAAAAAAAAAAAGAAATTTTAAATTTAAAGTTTCCGAAGAAAAAAAAAAATCAACGAAATTTTTTTTTTTTTCTTTAAGCTTAAATGAAGTGTTAAAAGAAAAGGTAAATAAAATAATAATAATAATGATGATGATGATGATGATGATAATGATAACAATAATAAAAAAAATTTTTTTTTTTTTAATAACGACGATTCATGTTTGACAAGAATAACTTTGAAAAAAAAATCAAGGAAATTAAAAAAAATTTTTTTTTTCGTCTAAAGTCACGTTTTTTTTTTTCTCGTTTTTAAATTTACTCCCTTTTAAAAATAATAATAATAATTTTGCAAACGTTTTTAATCGGATTAACAATAAAATTTAAATAAAAAAAAAATTTATAAAAATCGTTTTATGCTGCCACGTTGAATTTTTAAAAATCAACAACACCAACACAAAAATTTTTTTTTCTTGTCAGCGATGGTACGTTTTTTAATTTTTTTCCCCGTGCGGAATGATACGTATGATAATAATAATAATAATGTGTAATTGGCAGATTAGCAGTTACTGTTACAGAATATACTCTTGGCCTCGTAGAGTGGACGAAAGAGGAAATCTTGCACAAAGATCGAGGAACAAGAAAGATACTGACAAAGAAAGGTGCTTAGCATCAAAAAGCTCATGTAGATAGGTTGTACGTCAGTAGGAAAGATGGGGGAAGAGGACTACGACAAATAGAAGCGTCGGGATGGGAAAATACATAAAATCCCTTCAATTGTATCCTCCTTCTTAGCCCAAGCAGTGATAATGAAGAAAGAGATCACAAAAATAGGAGTTCTCAAAAAAGTAGAGGAAAGCAAAGAAAACAAAATGGAAGAATGGCAGCTTGTAACTTATGATGGCAAAGCCCAATCCCAAAGAAAACTTAAGAGCAAGTGGGAACAGAAAAAGCTACGTGACAGTATCTGGCATTAACAAGAAAAGCACGCATAACTGGTTAACGCGTGGCACTTTTTAAGGCACTTCTTAAGGTCCGCCATGATATGCAATCGCAGTCGGAAACAATCGATCACTTAATTTCCGGTTATCCGATATTAGCAAAACATGAATACCTAGAGAGGCACAATATAATCTGTAAATACCCCCAATGGAATAATATCTGTCGTGAATACGAAATGGATGAGCTAGCCAAGGTAAGGCACAACCACATACCAACCCAAATTATCAGGTTCTGTACGATCTACAAATCCACACCAGACAAAATAATTTATCAAGACTCGAACCACGCGTTTTTGTTCATAAAATAATTTTTAAAAAATTTTAAATCGATCGTTCGAAATTTCAAAAAAAAACAAAAAAGCGAAAAATTTTTTTTGTACATAGAGGAAAAAGAGAGAGAGAGATAGATAGAAAACAAAACAAAACAAAAATAGTTTTTTTTTTTTTTTTTTTTTTGTTTACAAAATGTTCGCGTAAAAGTTTATAAACATAAGAAAGTTTTTAAAAAAAAAACACACACATTTTTTTTTTTTTTTTTTTTACATTTGATTCAAATCGAAAATTTTTCGTATAAAATGCCGAAATTATCAGTGATATTACGTAGTTGTGGTAAAACGATTAATCTAGCTAAGACAAATTGTTATCAAGTACCTAGGAAACCGCCTTTGAACACGTTAATTTTTGAAAAATTACCCGAGCCAAGTTGCGGTGATAAGGTCACATGTGGTGTCAAAGGTCCCCCACCAACAAAACCCGTTAGAATATGCACGAAAGAAGATTTGCAAACTTTTTATTGTCCCCCACCGTGCGATTGTAAAGTCAAACCCATTCCTTTGACTTGGACGCAAAAAATAAGTGAGTTACATCTTACATAAGTATAAATCGTAATCCATTCATACCTCTTCCCCTCTCCTTCCTCCCCCGACGAAAAGTAATAATAATAATAATAATAATAATAATAATAATAATAATTTAAAAAAAAAAAAAAACGTGTTATCGCGTACCTCGCGTCGATGAATTATCACACATTAAACGTAACGGAAATTTTTTTTTTTTTAATTTAACTGGAAGTTACGATGATGATGATGATGATGATGATGATAATGATGATGATAAAACGAGTTTGATAAAAAAAGAGAGAAAAAGTAAATGTAAATGTTTTGTTTTTCCAGTTAAGACGACAATACTTATTGTGAAATCATTGATTGTCGGCGGTTTGGTTTACTACACTTGGTCTGAAGGTCTTTGGAGTGACACAGAACATTCGGCCATCTTATATGATAAATTAACAGCTCCAAAAGAAACGAAATAAAAAAAAAAATTTTTAGTCTTATTAATATTTATTATTATTATTAATATTTTTTATTATTTATTTATTATTTATTTAGTTTTTTTTTTTGATTGATTTAGGTTTTTTTTGTTTTTTTTTTTTTCTTATTCCTTTTGTGGAGTTTTTAAGAATTTTGTTCAAAATTAAAAATTTTTATATTGATTTTTTAATATAAAAATTTTCTTATTTTAAAAAAAAAAATTAATTTTTTTCTTTTGCCCTCTTTTTCTCTAAAAAAAAAATTACGTAATAATAATAATTATTATTTATTTATTTATTTATGATGATGATGATGATTACATTGACCTTATCAGTGCCGAAGTTTAGTAAACTAAACAAAAAAAAAACGTCAATGAACCAAAAAAAAAAAAAATTTTTTTTTTTTGTTTCGTGGGGGAGTCAAAACGTCGAGAATGAATGAACGTTTTATTATTATCATTATTATTATTCATTCGTTGATTTTTTTTTAAAAAAATGGCAGCTCACGGTCAAAACGGATGAGAAAATAATGATAATGATAATAATAACGATTATAATTATTCGAAAAAAAAAAAAACCTTCGGGAAATTTTTTTTTTATTTTTATTTTTTCTCTCATTCCAGTAACGCGTTTTTGCTTCCGGTTAAAAAAGAGAAAAAAAAATTCCAAAAAGCGGAAGTTTAAAAAAAAAATAAAATAAAATTATTATTAAAATTTATTTTTTTTTAAAAATGAAAATAATAATAATAGTATTAATAATAATAACATGAAGAAACGTAAAAAAAAAAACAAAAAAACAAAAAAAGAAAAAAAATTTTTTTATTAAATTTGTTTTTAAAATAAATAATTAATTTTTTTTGAGTCTTATTTTACGTAAATAAGTTACATAGATAAGTTAATAACATATTAACTAAATAATAATAATAATAATAATAATAATAATAATAATAATAATAGGGAAATAAATAAATTTATTTGCATAGAAAGAAAGAAAGAAAGAAAAATCATCATCGATTATTCGTCAGTCATTTTTTTTTTTTTTACAATTAATTATTATTATTAAAAATAAATCACATGTTATTATTATTATTATTATTACTAGTCATGCCGAATTAATTGTGGTTAATAATAAATTATTAATATATTTTTTTTTGTTTTTTTTTTGCGACGATAACAGGTTGGATAATGAAGGAATTATCAAAAGCATTTTTGGTGGGTTGCATGTGTTATTACACGTATACCCAAGGCCTTTGGGGAACTTCGTTTGATTCTTCGTGTTTTCTTGGTAAATTTATCGAAAGATGTCCTCCAGAATCCGAAGATGAATTCAACGAATATATATCAGCAACACTTATACAATTGGACGAAGACGAACCTTGTGCGCCTTTCATACCGCGTACCGATTATTTATTATATCAAGCCGGTCAAATATGGAAAAAATCTGTTCTTTTTACATTTTGGTTAATTTTAGAGGCTCCAAAAGAATTTTTAGATTACTTGCGTAGTTTACTATGGCCTCCACCGAAACCGATAATAAAATCACCCTGCGATAAATGAATGAATAAATCACTATTATTATTATTATTATCATTATTATTATTTTTTAAATTTCAAATACGTTCTATCAAATAATTCGACGATTTAAATTCCGAAATATAATTTAATTTCATTAATTATTCGTTTTTGATTATTATCATTATTTTTTAAACCGAAAAAAATTATTATTGTTATCATCGCGTTATTATCACGTGATTTATTAATAAATTAATAAATAAATAAAAAAAAATGTAATTCAAAAAAAAAAAAAAAAAAATTTTTTTTTTTAAATTTTAACCGCCATATTTATATCATCTCTTATATCACCCATTCAACCCCTATATTAACTAGAGACATCTGTCGGGAAAAATTTGATATTATTAAAAAATTTTGTAATGGCTACCGGAAGTAAACAAAAACGACCTTGAATGTCATTTAAACCGGCATTGAAAGTAAGGGTTCATTGATCTACCCTTATTTTCACACACACACACACACACACACCCTTTTTTTTTTCTTCTACGGTTTGTATATTTTTACAGTGGTTTTATTTTTATTAAAGAGTCAAAAGAAATAAAAGAAAAAATTAATTTCGGATAGAAAATGTCATGCGTGAAAAATAAATATTTTAATTTTTGCCCTTAAAAAAAAAAAAAAAAAAATTGATTTTATTGATCAGTTTTCGTTTAATTAGTCATGTGTGTGTGTGTGTGTGTGAAAGAGAGAAAGCGTAGTTCATCATTTTCATTAATATTAAAATTTATACGGTTTAAGAATTTTAAAAGTAGACAAAAAAAAAAAAATTTTTTTTCACGTTTAAAATTTACGAGTATAATTTTAAAATTCTTTAAATAGTTTATTTTACAAAAAATAAAAAAATAAAATAAATGAAAATTTTGTTAGGTTTTAAATTCTTTGACTAAATACTAAAGTCAAAAGAGTCTCGCAGGGGATAAAAAAAAAAAAAATGAAAGAAAGGAAAGAAAAGAAAATTTAAATTACAAAAAAGGAATTAAAAAATTTTAAATTACTTATAATTTCACAATTGGATGATTTTAAATTAATTATTTAAATTTCAAATTTTTCTTATTTACATAAAATTCATTATTTATTTAAAAAAAAAAAAAAAAAATGAGTGAGAGAGAGAGAGAGAGAAAAGAAAAAATGAAAAAAATTCCAAGGTTCATTTAATTAGTTTCATTTTATTTAGTGAGATGGCGCTGAGATAAAAATCTCGTAGTTTCTCCGCCGAAAGGATTCAACATGGCGAAGTGAACGGATTTATTTTGTATATACAAGTGAAGTTTTTCATTTAGTTTATTGCCGATGATCAATTTGAAATTAAATCAAGTTGTGATTTTTTTTATTAATTATATCGCGAGCTATGCGTCGGCAAATAATTATCGTTAAACTGTTTTTTTTTATATTGTTTTTTACTTCCGTGAATTTATTTAAATTTGAATAACTCCATTGGTAAACAACGTGACATGACCTGACCTACATATTTAAGAACTATACCTTCGTTTATTATTATATATATTTAATATAAATGTGAATTTATTAGTGATAGATGTTCTATTGGGAAATGGTCGATGTAAAAAACAATTAATATCTCGAAACATCTATGAGATCATGTCCAATATTAAGAAGACTATAAATCCGCATCCAACTCATGTAACTCATATCAATAAGGCTGATCCTGGGATACCTCCACCGCGATACCAACCACCACCTAGACCTCCTGGAATATTAAAACCGTATACATCTCAACCTTTTCCTACTTATTCAGGATCTGTGACGGAGAATGATAAGTTTGCTTCTGCCAAACTAAAAACTAATCATGACATTTACCCACATACTGAAGGTAATTTAGAATCAAAGCCAGCTTACATAAATCCCCCACAATATCCAGCACCACCTCCCGTTAAAACTAATTCTAAACCTTTAACTCCTACTAATATTAATCAGATTCCGCCAAAAGTTGAAGAAGTTCATTCAATAAGAGGTCATCCTGAAATGCTGAAATTTGTTAGAGTTAAACAACAAGATACAGAAGCGGCAGTTAATGCTGTTCCTACTTACCCACCAGATCAAAATCATCATTCGAATAAAGTCGATCAAAGTAACAAAAGAATACAAAATTATGTAAATGAAATAAGGGCACTGAAAGAAGCAAATCAAAGGCTTAGTGACGACAATCAAGAATTAAGAGATTTATGTTGCTTTCTTGATGATGACAGGCAAAAGGGAAGAAAATTGGCTAGGGAGTGGCAAAGATTTGGAAAATATACAGCGAGTGTTATGAGACAAGAAGTATCTGCATACCAAAACAAATTGAGACAATTGGAAAACAAACAACAAGAATTAATTAAAGACAATTTAGAGTTGAAAGAATTGTGTTTGTACTTAGACGAAGAAAGAAATGCTACAACTTCTTGCAATCATGGTTTGACAGGAAGGCCCAGTCATAGAGATGATGGTGATGGTTCTAGTTCTAGTACAAATGCAGATGAACCAGTTACTTCCCCCATATACCCCACTGGTAATGCACAAAGAAGGTCAGAAAGTACAGAAAGGTTACTCGAAGAAAGTATTCAAAGGCAGAGAAATATTTTTAACGAACAAATCATTCAATATGTGAGGCATTTGGAACAAAGAGTGAAAATGTTGGAAAAGGAAAGGCAAGTTTTAATACAAAATTTACTTCAAAGTGGATTTCGAGAAGAAGATCTTAAAGCCAGAGGAATTTGGGGACCACCAGAAGAAGTAAGAATGATTATTATTACTTTTTTACAATTACTCACCATCATGATTTTACATTAATTAAAAAAAAAATTTTCTTTTCAGGACGTTTTAAGCAGGCCGGAAGCAGTTGTGAGAGCTTTACAAGTACTCGAAGTGAGAGAACTTATAGAAAGAACCGGACATACAAATTCTGCATCTGGAATATTGACAAATGATATGCTATCCGACATTGACGAAGGTGAAAAAGCATTAGTTATGGAAATGTGCAATGTAAGAATTTTATCTTTTACATTTTTAACAATTTAACAAATGTCAAAATGTTCATTATTATTATTATTAATATTTATTCCAGGTGGTTTGGAGAAAATTAGAAGAGGGTCCTGCTGCAGCTAGGTGAATCATTATAAAATGATTGCATCTTTTAGCTGTTACACACGTCGACGAGAGTATTTTACATTATTATTATTATTATTACTACTACTATTATCATAATCATTAAATGTTAAATGATAAAAATGATTTCATAACCGGCTTTAACCAGGAGATTAAAGTCGCGTTAAAATAACAAGCATTAAAAAAAAAAAAAATGTCTTCCAAAAAAAAAAAAAAAAACGGTATTTTATATAAGAAAAAAAAAATATTTTTTTTAACTTAAGTACATTCGCATGTTTTATCATTCCCATTTATTTATCATTTAGTTACGTAGAATTTCAATTTAATTATTAATTTTTTAAAATTTTATTATTATTATTATTATTTTATTACTATCACTGTTATTTATTTATTATTTAAATTTTTTATTCGTGAAAGAAAGAAAATCATTTTAAAAAAAGTATATTTAATCCGAAAGAATATTTTTTTAAAGTTCTTGTTTTAAAATTTTTTTATTATCTTTTCAACAACAACAACTCGTTTTATAAAATGTGTGCCAAATCCGGAATAATAATAATAATAATAATAATAAACATATTAACAAAATACCAAATAAATCAATATTTAATAAAACTAGAATCGATTTTAATAAAACAAATTAATAAGCGTAATAGTTTATACTAATTGAATTAACAAAACAAGAACAAAGAAAAATAATAATAATTATTATTATTATTATAAGTATGCACATTAGGGTAAAATATCATTAATAATTATAATTCAAGTTCCTCGTATTATTATTATTATTATTATTATTTGTAATTAAACTGTAAACTTTTTTGTTGTTAAATTAAATTTAAATTTTTTATCTATACTATGTTAGTGCCTCCAATAATGGTAAAATAAAAAAGTATTCATATATATCCGCCGAATTATTTAATAAAAAAACTGTAATAATTATCATTATTAATATAACCGTAATTATAAAAAGAAATAAATAATAATAATAATAATCATTTTATATGTATTATTTTAAATGATTTATAAGTGTTACTTTGAAGGAGAGTGCCTTGTTTTATATTTTTTAATAATATTACATAAGATCTTCTTTTTTTTGTTTATGTATGATAATAATATTTAATAAAAGTTAATTAATAAACAAGAGTTTAATAATAAATTAATAATAATAAAAATAATTATTGTACAATATTTTTTTTTGTATTTATTTTTCGATGGAAAAAAATAAAAAAATCTGTTTTAAATCGGTTGAGGTAATCAATTTAAAAAGATGAGTAAGTTTTTAAAATGAACGTTTATTTAAATAATTAAATAATTATTTCGTATATTGTTTCAATTAATTAATTTATTACCAATTTTTTTAAAAAAAATAAATTATTATTATTATTATTGTAAAATTGTGAATTGATTTTAGTTTTTACTTGTTATATGATTGGAAACGGATTATTTATAAAAAAAAAAAAAACAAAAATATATACTTTTAAAATTATATATTATACATATTATTATTTTTTAAAAGAAGTTATTTATTATTGTCATAATTGTAATACATATGTTTTTATTATTATTATTTTTTTGAGAATAAAATTTTTAAATTAATTTTTCGACCGTTAATTTTTATTATATACATATTTTAAAAATTCACCGCCTTCTAGCAGTCATTGTTATTTGTATGAAATTTTTTTTTTTTAAATCAAAATGGCGTCCAAAACCGGTTGGTATATGTAAATTTTATTTTTTTGTGTGTCAATATTAAATAATTATTAGGTATTTAATTTAAATTGATTTTGTTTTTTTTTTTTTTTAAAAGAATTTAACGGTGATGAGAAAGTAAAGGTAGATACTACGAATCCACCAGTTTCAGAAGAAACATTAAATGTTATTAACGCTGAAAAAGAGGAAACTGAAATTGGTGATTCAAACGCTTCATCTAAAAAAACGCGAGTAGATTTGCAATCATTACCAATTAGACAATATTTGGATCAAACAGTCGTACCCATTTTATTGCAAGCTTTATCAACACTTTCTAAAGAAAGGTAATGTGAATATTTTAATTAAAATGTGCTTACACGTTAAACATTATTGAAATAAATTTCTTTTTTTTTTTTTTTCATAATGTTTTTCAGGCCACCTGACCCAGTATCATTTTTAGCAGCTTATCTTTTAAAAAATAAAGCTCAATATGAAACCAATTCGAATCCTCCACCGAAAACTGGACAGTAAATTAGGTGACATAATTATTATTTTTACTATATAAACATTTCAGAATGTTAGCTCTATAAATTGTGAGTTTTATTATTTGATAACACTTGAACAATTCATTGCTTCAATGCAATTATTATTAAAAATTAAAACCTTAATTTACTATACGTAATATTAGGATTTTAATTTCCTATTCATATTAACAGTAAATTTATATTTATAAAAACTTTTTTGTCTTTTTTTTTTTTTTTTTATTTTATTTTATTTTTTCCAATTTTGCAAATGTCAACATCTCGTAATCACCTAATGTGAAAAACATTATGCAAAAAAAAAACAAATTTCACCCTTGAAAAACGAAAAAAAACTTTCGATAATTTATTAAATAAAGGAATTAAATGAATAATGTTTTATAATAAATTTTAATTAAAAAAATCATTTATTAAGCTTAACTAAGCATTACTACTACAATTCCTATATTTATTATTATTATTATTATTTAAGTATATATGTACTAATTATCAAAAAATTAAATAAAAAAATTTCTACAATTTGTTTTTTTTTTCTTTCTTTTTTTCTTTAGTTTATTATTATTATTTTTTTTCTATTGTAATTTTTTTTTATCGTTTGATATAAATCATCATTATTATTATTATTTATAAGTTCTAATGCTTTTAGTGGACATATTTAGTAACTGTTTAGTATATTTTTTCTAGTATGACTATAAATCGAATTGTGTTTAATCAATAATTTTGATTTTGAAAACAAAACTTAGTCGAGGATATGATGGAAAAACAATACAAACTCTTTTTTTTTAGTTTCTTCTTTTAGTTTTTGACATGTTTTTAGTATTAAATCATTTTTTTTTACTATTTAAAAATATTAAACATACATATTATTATTATTTTTATTACAAAAACTAAATTAAATCAATACTCGAATTGATATCATTTCATTATTTACTTATCAAGAATGATTGTTTGAGTGTAAATGAAATAAATTGATTCATTATTCATTTAATTAAATATTTAAAATGATTTTAAAAAAATTTTCTATTGAAATTTAATAATTCAATTATTAATTTATATAAAATTTCTCAGGGAACTGAAACCGGAAATGAAATTAAAAAAATAAAAATAATAAGAATGATGGTAGCTGGGATGATGGGAATTCATAAGGAAAAACTTCTTCTGTGTGACTCTCGCAAATTTTTAGGTTAGTTAAAATAGTTTTCATATTAAATTAAAT